ACCAACGCTACAACAAACATGCCCTGCGACCCATCCCAGACAGTTCCTACTCCCATCCCGCATCTGCCATACTCAATACACCACGCTTCGAGTGACTAAATGCAAATCTGAAGACGGCTATAAAGCATTAAGACGATTAAGACGATTAAGACAATTTAACCACCTCTCATTCCGCATAAACTGACCGTAGATCGACTCGCCCATGCCGCCATTGCCGAAATTGAAGTCACCTCCTTGGCACATAAAGCCGGGGATAATACGATACATACGGGAGTTCTGATACCTAACATGTCGTCGTTGGACCAACACACAACAGCTATCTGATCCCGACCAAACTAAGCAGCCAGCCAATTTCGCTAGATCTCAGATTTAATGCCAGCTCCGATAGCAATACCCTATCAATTCCTCCCCTGTGAACCGTATACACTCTATAGGTGAGCTACTACTACTACTACTACTACTACTACTACTACTACTACTACTACCATCTTGGCCGCAACCAGTACCCCAGGCCTGTCTCCCCTGTACACAGTGCCCGGAAGTTCTCACAAGTAATAGGCAACTAACATGATACTGAGCCGTGGTCCATCGAGACTTGCCTTACCACATCATCGAACAACCTAAAGACCATCCGACCTACCCCGACATCTCCAACGGCGATATCAAAGTATCTGACGGACTGCAGTGGACCTCTTCCGTATCTTGCTACCTACACCCTAGGATTCGTCGGCCGTATCAGATGGGACATCAACTGATGAGCAGCCAATACCACTACGAAGACGACGACCAGCATTCCCATCTACCAACACAATCGAAAAACCTCAAGAAAATCGAAACTCGGATATGAATCAGTGTGCCAATCAATGGCGATGACGCGGACTGTTGCTTTCATGTCGATGGTGTCTCGGCGATCCCAAACTCCCCGACCTGGCCCTCTTCGGTGACGGCGCTCCCTCCGACTCCGTCTCATGGGCTTCCCTAAAGTAACAAATCTTGGTCAATGTCCCCCCATTATACAGATTGGTCAATTAAGGCACGGATGAAACATACTCGCGGGATGTCAGGTTCCGACACAACTTTTTGGCAAATTTCAAGAAATCAAACCGCAGCGCTCAACAAAAACGCATTTAAGAAGAAGAACTCGAATAGGGCTTTCCAATGCCATATGATAGGTCCTATAACGCATCGGCTATAAAAAGTTATGGGGGCCCTCTTCAGGTCGGCACCCTGTACTACTTTGCCGCCGCTACAGTAGGCTGAGGTGGGGCCTTAGGAGGCTGAGGAGCAGCAGGAGCATGATCGAACACCGGGTTGAGCTGCTGGGTGACCTATAGTGACAATCACTACAATGACAAATAGCGTCGTCCGAGCCCCTACTCTAACGAAAGTAGTCCTCTTCGAGAGCTCCTTAAGGGCTCTGGCTCCAACATAGGTACAGCATGACCGAAGGCCTCCGAGGACGTCCTGTATAGTGTGGCTGACAGGACCGCGATACGGCACCTACTATTAGTGAGCTCATCGAGACGATACCAATATTGACAATACCTTCACAGACTTCCCCTCTGAGGCACGGTAATTGGCAACCCCTCCTGCATACTTATTCATAGCTGTATCAGACGACATACCATAAAACTCTTTATACCACTTCTCGCTGAACATTGCCCAGATTCAATGATGCCACAGTCTACCAATGAGCCCACCTCCTAACATCGTGAACCAGCTGACCGCCACTCTCATCATGACCAGCCAACATTCCTGAGATCGTCATCGAGTCCAGGCAGACCCTATTAGACCTACCTCCCAGCATGACGAAGTCCGCCCCGCCTCCAAAAGCTTTGCAGACATCTCCTGAGCAGGTACAGCCACCATCAGAGATTATCCTGAACGATTCGACGAGGGAGTGGTAGTATTAGGGGTAGTTACTGAACATTACATGCCCCCAATTCCATGCGCGGCGTCAGCACATTCGATAACAGCGGAGAGCTGGGGATACCCAACGCCTAACAACATAAAAGGACTCCAGTTGGGATGATATGCCTCCTTCCATAGCCCCAACCCTGGTTCAATCCCCCCACCTGTCATTTTCCTAGTAGTGCACACACTACCCGGGCCAATCCCAACCTTGACGATATCAGCACCCGACAGCAGTAACTCTTCGCACATCTCCCCAGTGACCACATTACCAGCCATTATCACCTACCATCCGCTCCTGTCCAACAGCCCTTCCTCATTACCTTATCAGGGTAGTCCTTCCTCAACGTCCTGACAGCCTCAACAAAGGCTTCAGCATAACCGTTAGCAACGTCGAGACAGATAAAATTGGCCTTGGAAATCTCCATCACCTTTTATGGGAGATAATAACAAGTGGGGTAAGCCAGCGCGCCCGGGCTTACTGATTTCAGCTTTATGAGATCGTCCTTCATAATCCCTGTTGATACCGCCACGTTATCCAGTACCTATCAAATGAGCCGTAGCGGGCATCCACAGATCGCTGTGGAGAATAACTACATCTCGGCCGACCCGGGAGCACCAGTTCCTCCACTGCT